AAAAAGATAGTACAGAGGAGAGAAAACATGAAGAATCATTGCAAGTTATTGAACAGAAATCCTTCCTTCTTGAATTTGCCTGAGGCCAACTCTGAAAGCCCTGTTTGAACTCGACTCTTCAAAGGAGTTCTTCTGGACAAATGATAAGAGATGGTGAAGTAACTCCAGGAACATTGTAATCAATGTTTTATTTATATCTATATGACTAAAGCATCTGTTAAGTTTTTTCTTGCAAAAGCCAGTGCCTTATGTAGCTCATCCAATGCAAAGAAGAAAAATGAAAATATTTACACATCAAAGATAGCACCTTTCTTGCAAAGCAACGTGCTTCCCCAAACAGTTTTTAACCTCCTTGGATGAGATTTTATTGTTAAATTTATCGGACACCAGCTTTTCTGGGAGCATGTTCTATTTTATTCATTTAGCAGGAACTTTACTAAACTTGCAATGCAACTTTTTGCATTATGGTTGTATTAGGTGATTGGTTTAAAATATATATACTTTCTAGCTTTTATAATGTGTAAGCCAGATAAACTGTTAATGCTTTAGAACTCTCTAGGCTGTATAAATGATGGTGATTTCTGTGTTATCCCTGATGAAGTTGAGGATACAAAAAACAGTTTTAATCCTTTTTATACCTTGACTGTCTGTCTGTGAAACAAGTTCAGAGAATGGCTATATGGCAGGAACGGCCACTGGACTAATTTTCAAAGCCAGGTCACATTGCTTGGTCACATATTTTGTATTTATATAAAATGTAAAATAACTAAATAAGCTGATACAGATCAAGTGACTGTTACACATAATGAAAAGGAGCTTTTTTATAGGCTGAATTCAAGCCAGGTAAAATTTCCGTTTGTTAGCATTGTGGCTGTTGAAAGTGTCAACATTTAGGAAAATTCTGATCTTTCATTAAAAATAAACCAGTACTTTTTATGCTAGAAGTGACAATGATAAATATAGCCAGAGACAATCTTTTAATTGCACCTTTAAGTGTTCTGTCACCTAGATCTAATGTCTTCACTTCAGCTTTATGCTTTGGATTATATTCACCAGATGCATTTCTTCTTCTAATTACAATCAGGATGTGTCTATATGAAGTGGAAAATGTGAGCAATTATTTAGATTGTCCAAAAAATAAAAGCAAGTTCAGCTGAAGATATGCAGTAAGTGGTGTAGAATATTTGAGGTGAGGATTCTATTAAATCATTCTCAGCTCTCTTACTTCTATAAATAGTTTCTCTCCATTTTTATTTTCTTCCAGTTTATGCATTTGTCAGTCTGGCTGCAGATTCTCTTTAAATTATCTTGAGGCATTTTTCTTATAAACTAATGATAGCAGGGTTACCTGTTTTCAGACCCTACCCTCAGAAAAGTGAAGACTTCTGTGAGTGTTTGGTGGCAAGAATGCCCTGTATAACTTGTTAGCAATGTTTATAGAAATAAAGCATCACTCAAAGGAACCAGCTTCTCTTTGCCATATGAAAATATTAGTCAGTCAGTCGTGTCTGACTCTGCAACCCCATGGACTGTATATGGGATTCTCCAGGCAAGAATACTCGATTGGGTAGCCATTCCCTTCTCCAGGGATCTTCCCAACCCAGGGATCGAACCCAAGTCTCCTGCATTGAAGGAAGATTCTTTATGTCTGAGCCACCAGGTAATATAAATGAATGGTATTCAGAGGTATTCTTTATGAGAAGGCAGTATGAAGGCAAATAACTCCTTCTATCACCCTCACCACATTCCAGATTACCCAACCGTGTCTCATTCCTTCAGGGCTCTGGGAGGTAATTGATTTGTTAACTTTGGTCACCTTTACTCCTCACTTCCTGGTGTTTTGTTTTAAGCCAGTGTTTGCAACATAATATCACTGGGAGCTTTTAGAAAACACATCTCTTGTTGAGATAGATCCCATCTCAAACTTACTGAATCAGAGTCTGCATTTTAATAAGATTCTCAGACATTTGGAAGGACATTAACATTTGAGAAAATCTGAGTTAGATCTCCTTAGGCCATAGTCTGACTCATTTCAGTTCAGTCGCTCAGTAGTGTCTGACTCTTGGCAACACCATGAACCCCAGCACGCCAGGCTTCCCTGTCTATCACCAACTCCCGGAGTTTACCCAAACTCATGTCCTTTGAGTCAGTGATGCCATCTAACCGTTTCATCTTCTGCCGCCCCCTTCTCTTCCTGCCTTTAATCTTTTTCAACATCAGGGTCTTTTCATGAGTCAACTCTTTGCATCAGGTGGCCAAAATATTGGAGTCTCAGCTTCAATATCAGTCCTTCCAATGAACACCCAGGACTGATTTCCTTTAGGATGGACTGGTTGAATCTCCTTGCAGTCCAAGGGACTCTCAAGAGTCTTCCCCAACACCACAGTTCAAAAGCATCATCTCTTCTGTGCACAGCTTTCCTTATAGTCCAACTCTAACATCCACACATGACTGCAGGAAAAACCATAGCTTTGACTAGACGGACCTTTGTTGGCAAAGTAATGTCTCTGCTTTTTAATATGCTGTCTAGGTTGGTCATCGCTTTCGTTCCAAGGAGTAAGTGTCTTTTAATTTCATGGCTGCAATCACCATCTGCAGTGATTTTGGAGTCCAGAAAAATAAAGTCAGCCACTGTTTCCACTGTTTCCCCATCTATTGGCCATGAAGTGATGGGACCGGATGCCATGATCTTAGTTTTCTAAATGTTGAGCTTTAAGCCAACTTTTTCACTCTCCTCTTTCACTTTCATCAAGAGGCTCTGTAGTTCTTCTTTGCTTTCTGCCATAAGCATGGTGTCATAGGCATACTTAAGGCTATTGATATTTCTCCCAGCAATCTTGATTCCAGCTTGTGCTTCTTCTAGCCCAGCGTTTCTCATGATGTACTCTACTGTCCTCTATTTAAAAGACACTGTAACTGGAAATACAGAGAAAGAACCTCTGATACTCAAGTACATTTCTGTAATTCCACATGAAATCTGGGCTCTCGTTTCCTGATCCTTTACTGTGTCACAACAGCATGGGGATATTTTAAGTGTTTTCCACTGACATGGACAACTTCTTACTCCAAATACCTGGTTCTTCTACAATGATGAGAATTTGGGACGCAAGTAAGGACACAGGCAGGCAAGGCTTTTGAAGTTGTTCCTTAAATCATATCATATAAGCAATAACAGAACCTACTTACATTTGAGGAAAATCTTGTTCATATTTGCATTTTGTGCAAAGGAAATAAATCAATCATAACAGCCAATGTTCTACTATTGTGGACTGGTCTTGACAGTGCATGCCAAGATAATTTCTCTGCCTAGATTTTCATAAAAAGTACCCTAGGTTTCCCAATTTTGTGTTGATTCTGAAATTCTTGATATTATCCTCTGAGTTCCTGCTGCTGCTAAGTCGCTTCAGTCGTGTCCAACTCTGTGCGACCCCATACACAGCCACCCACCAGACTCCACCATGACCACACATAAATTTGATTCTCAGAAGACCATTAGTTCTTTTTACTTTATGAAAATGACGAGGAATTACTCATTCCAGCAATGAAAATAATTCTGCTAAAAGCAATTCACTTTGACTTTGCCAAAGTTGAATAAATACAGGCAACTCTATAGTCCTCTTCACCGTTATTCTGCCTGAGAGAAGTTCTTTTCCTTCCCTCTCTCTCTTTTCATTGTCACAGTCCATGTTCTTATCTTTTCTAAAGTAGACTATTGCTATTTTCTCCTAATATGTCTCTGTAACTCTGATTGCAAGCCATCCTCTTCACTTCCCACACCTTCTAAAATATACATCTGATCATGTCACATTCTGTTCCAAAATTTTTCAATGGCTCTCACATTGTCTGCTCAGTTATAATCAGACCTGATGGTAAGTCATGCAAGGGTTTGCTTGTCCAGGCCATTGTCTCTTTGTGCAGTCTTGTGTCCCTTCTTACCCTTTCTGCATAAACACCAGAACTAAGTTTATCTTATAATTCTCTTTGACTTGGATTCCTTTGCCTAGAATGCTCTCAAACTTTTTTGATTTTATGTACTTACTCATTCATCAAGTTTCAATTCAAATACTGTTTCTGCAAAGCCATTCTTGGTATGTTTCAGAAATATTAAATTATCTTTCTATTATACTTTATGTATCTTTATATGACAGCATATTTCTGTAACTGCCCCCAAACTGGACTATAAACACCCTGAAAGCAAGGAAAATCTTTTTTCATTATTTAGTTCCAGTTTCTGGCAAAGTGAATAGTTGTAAAGCTTAATAAATGTTACAGATTGATTGCATGGAGGCATTTATATGTAGTCAATAGCATATACTATGTATAGAGATAACTCTATATTTGATGCTGTGCAAGCCATATAAACTTATTAAACATAAATCTATTTAGTGGATGTCATCATTGGTCTGGGCATTTAGGAAACAAATATAATCTGAGATACATATAATAATTTCTGGAGAGATACAATCCTTATCCTACATTGCCTACATTGTTTTGAAAATAAGACTTCATTAAACCATATTCTGATTAATGTGCCCTAATTAATCTGAACCCAAATTAAGAGCATATAGCACAGGGAATTCCACTCAATACTCTGTAATAATCTAAGATCCTGAAAATGAATATATTAGTATGTGTATATATGCATAGTTGAATCACTTTGTGGTACACTTGAAGCTAACACATTGTAAATCAAATATATTCCAATAAAAATTAAATTAAAAAAAAGAATGTATAAGAGAGTTCTTTCTATTCCTTTATCTTTTGGTAGTTTATACGTGCTCACACCTCAGGTTGTATGAATGAAGATTCTGATTAATTCCATCTCAGTGCAATCTCAGATACTGCTTTTGTAAGAGGCTTTCAAGTGATGCCCATCCTACTGGTCTATAGACTACATTTTTAAGCAGGGATTTAAGGTTTAAAGACAATCCTGAACCCTCCTAGGAATGAACCCTTCTCATATTACCAAAGCTCCAGAGTATTCTCACTGTGTTCTTCAGATCTATGGATCAGAGTGCAGTAAAGATGGAACAAAGCTGGCTGTATGAGGTGCTGTGCTAGGGAGGTGAAGAGACAGTGCTTTCAAAGAAGTTTTTGGGTCCATCCACCCCTGAGCAGGTGCAAGGAGGCAAAGAAGAAAGGGCAGCGGAATGATAATTAAAGTTGCTTCAGAAAGTTGCAGGAGCAGCATTCTAGAAATTAAAGCTGGATCCAACTTAGCCTAAGCAACAAACAAAACAAGTACCTCTGGATAGCAACAAAGTTCTTTTAAATAAACATGTCATTGCCCACCTTCTGCAGGACAATATTTTACATATATTCTTCTGCATTCCTTGCAACACTGAAAATAATGCCCTCTCTAAAATAGAGGTTAAATATACTTAGGCCACCTGATGTGAAGAGCTGACTCTTTAGAAGAGATCCTGATATTGGAAAAGATTTTCAGGGCAGGAAGAAAAGAGGGTAACAAAGGATGAGATGGTTAGATAGCATCACGGACTCAAAGGACATAACTTTGAGCAAACTTTGGGAGACTGTGAAGGACAGGGAAGCCTGCCGTGCTGCAGTCCATGGGTTCGCAAAAAGTTGGACATGACTTAGCAACTGAACAACAAATATGTGAAATGAATGAGTGAATGGTATTTTTTTTTTTAATTTTATAAGATAATTGGAAGCTTTCAGGGTTGAAGTGTTTTGATTGCCTTATTAGCTGTGGAAGATAGTCTAGACATTATTCAAATGCTATTGATAAGCACTGTGTTATGCTGGCTTATAAGAAAATTCAAGAAAAGTACACATCACATAAACTGCCTTTTAACTGAGTGGGATGGCTGACATTTAAGCACCGTGGTTTTTATGTTCTGTGCGGTTTGTCTGCCACAGTCTAACTGAAGTTTAACACTTAATAATGGTAAGTACATGAACTGGGGTAGAATTTGCATTTATATTTCATATGGTTTGTTACCCAAATAAAATTGAGTGGTTACATTTTTCTATTTTTTTTTTGTTGCCTTATTTTGTTAATCATTCCAAACACATTTGTTCCATTCCATAAAAGTGAGCAGCTTACCTTCCACCTTTGTGAAATCACTGTTAATCATTCTGTAATGTCTGCATTATCCCATTTAAACTGTTCCCCTGTGGTTTTACAATTCCGTCTGCTCACTAATCCAGCAGGAGGAATGATGTGCAAACAAGCAAATATAGAGAAACAAATAGATTTTCCTTGTGAATCATAATTGTAAGCCAGTCAGCAAGATTAGAGTTTCTCAAATTGTTATTTAAGAGGCAAATTATTGATACAGCATCTGAGCCAATGGACTTGAAATTTGTCCAAGTGGTGATATAAGCCTGATAGAAGATAGAAGATAATTTTATATTCATGATTCATACCCACTTCCTGCACCCAACCTTAATCTTAACTAATAAGATGTTAATATTAAAACTTGATCATGGTTAAAGAATAATTGCAAACATATCAGACATATAATGGAAAGAGAAAATGCATATAATTTTCTAAGGCCTACGTCCCTCTAACTACCCAAACTCCTCTCAGATGACAAAGGATTGCACATCTCTGTGTAATTGTTTCATGAACAAATACATCAATAAATATTGCCAAATAGCTGCATGGAGTATAGAAATACCTAATCAGTTAGCTGGATATTTCTGAAATGATGCATCTGGATGTTTGGTATCACATAAGCAAAATAGCTGATTATTTAACTGGAATTTATGATTCTATGTGAGTGTTTCATATTTTGTTCACAAAAATCTGAATATGTAGTGTGGACCAAAATTTGATCTGGTTTTTGGAATGATATAGCTGTAACATTATGTATCATGCCACTTTTATTTTATAAATAAATGTGACAATTTACTCAATTAGTAAATTAAAGATAAGAGCATTCAGGTCTACGCTGACAAATAGCTGCTAATCCAGTAATTCAGTTCAGTTCAGTTNATTCTCCTTTTCTGTTTTGTGTGGCTATGGCCCTTACAGTGATGTCATGCTATAATTATCCTTGTGTGGGTGTGTATGAAAGGAAAATATTCCCCTACCTTCTTCTCAATGCTTTGTGGAAAGTCACAGGAGGATGTCAAAGATTATCATGTATATTATGCCATGCCTCTGTCATTGACAATCATAGGAGATATTGATCCAAACATGAAATATACCACTGTTAATTTTCACTGCCACTGTATATTGAATATGGAGATAGGATACACACATAAACTGAAGTTGTCTCAATCTCTGATGGTATCCTGAATTCTCATGTTCCTTTTCAGCCTACAGCACCACTGGCATACTCATACACCTGTTCTTATATCTGTTGAAGTCTTTTATAGACAGCCCTTTTCTAGGATTTACACCTCATTATAAAAATCAAATTTCTTGACTGTCAGAAAGAAATGGAGTGTGGCGAGCTGGGAACTAGTTCTCTGACATACTGAGACGGCAGATCAGCCTGGAGGTGGAGTTCCCAAAACAGAAAGTTGGAATTATAGATACCACCTACATTCATTCATAAATAGAAGAAATAATGACGGTACAGTACAGTGATTTTTCAAGTCACAGTGCAAAAGATCCTAAGTAGTATTTTAATTTAAAAAAATGATGTATGATTAAAGATATCAAAATTCACTAGGATTCATTTCCCTCTTGAAACATAAATTAATTTCACATTTACCTTATTGGGAAAAAAGTATTAATGATTTAATAAAATGAGATACCATGGTTTAATTCTTCAGGAGAATCCGCCAAGTTTCTTTAAAGCTCTACTTCTAATCATGATAACACTAGTTATTTTCATTACTTAAACTTTAATCTGCCCTTTTGGCCAATTTGAAAAGATATGTAACATAGGCATAGCATGTAACTGTGATTTTTAACTAATTACGAATTAAAGTTTCTTAGAACATTTACATAAATTGGGATCAGTGTAAAGAACTACAAATTTGACTTACACCTCATAAATCATGTTCTCTGCATTCATTATTTATTAAGGTGCTCATTTTTTTAAAAAACTGACAGATTCTACTGTTATTCATCTCCTTCCACTCTCCATTCTCTCACCATCAGCATTTAACATGCTGCTTTCTCATGAACAGTAAGTGTATGTAATGAATTTATGTGTCGATTAGAGTATGTATGTGTGTTTCTTTCTTATTAATGAGAAAGGGTATGGAGTGTCCATTCCTGGAAATCTTCAAGAAGAAGCTTGTTGTCTATGATGCATTATTCCCCTCAGGATCTTGGGCCAGATGATCTCTTAAAGTCAGGTTTTGATCTATAACTAAATGATCAGTGAGCCAGCTTCAGGTCACCCTATACTATTTAGTACATACAGCCACTTTTCAGGAGTACTAAATGGTGCCCCTGGGCTCTGAAAAAAATTAATGCACAACCCATAGGGTCCAAATTACTGCCAGGGAGTGATTTAGGCAATGGGAAATAAATTCCATTAATATCTAGTTAGGTGGTTAATCAGAAAGTAAAATAATAATAATAAAAAGCAAGGAGCTAAATCTGTTTTCTCATTTTGTCCTCCATGAACAGAAAATAATAAGTGTTAGGTGTGCTCCTTGTAAAATCTTTAATAAATTTTAAAGTAGTGCTCAAGACTTCCCTTGGGCTCTTCATCTCTAAACTAAATATGCCCTATTCCTTTAATATTTACACATAAGATCTGTTTTCACACCTTTAATCACCTTTATTGCTCTTTTCAATTTCATTTTCAGTTTATCCACATCTTTATCAATGTGATGACCCATAATATTAATCCAGTGAAGAATTAGAAGGTGCTATAAGAAGTGCTTGTTTTTGCTTATATTTTTAAATGTTACATTAGTCTCAGGGCAAACACCAATGTTATAAAGGCAGATCTGTAGTTTTTGCAATGACCTGCTGCAACCATGAGTAGACCTTCCAGACAGTTATGATAGTCCTAAAATATCTCCGGTTTGTGTGTCAAGCTTATGAACCAAAACTGTTTAAAGACAATAGTTTTGGCAACAAAACACTTCACTAACCAAAGGAAGGTAAGAAGATGTATGCATTCATATTAGATAACCTATTGTAGTATAAATACATATAACAAACATACACTCTTCCAGACCAATAGCAACTACTGATGCCCAGATAAGCTCAAAGTCTTATGTCCCTAGCTTGCTATATTCACTCTTTTTCCAAATGAGAGAGTTAAAGTTGAATGTATCACTTGATACAGCTATTTTGAAAGATAGTTCACCAAAATATGGACTCTAGGAACTTTGTCACCGGTAAGAAGAGAGAGAAGGAAAAACAGTCAGTGAAGAACAAAAGCAGATGGCCCTGTCCTTCTTCCTAGTTCATGTCTCTTTGCTACTGTGGTACACTGTCACCTATTTCACAATGTAATTATATCCTTGACCCCAGACTTCCAATCACTTCAATAGTTCCTTTAGGTTTTGAAGTACCATCTTCCTCCAAGTGAGAAAGGATTTGAAGAAAGGTGGTCAGTGAGGAGAAAACGTCAAATTATCAGGCCTACCTCCATAATTCTGTGCATGAGACCAACAGCTTTATGCACATGAGGACAGTTGCTTCTTCTTAGAATACTAGTAGAGAACACTTTGGACTCCTCTGATGAGTCAGGTGGTAAAGAATCTGCTTGCAATCCAGGAGATCTGGGTTCAGTCCTTGGGTCAGGAAGATCTCCTGGAGAAGGAAATGGCAACCCACTTCATTATTCTTGCCTGGGAAATTCCATGGACAGAGGAGCCTGGTATGTTACCGTCCATGGGGTTGCAAGAGTTGGACATGACTTAGTGACTAAATCACCATCAGAGAACACTTTGGAGAACATCTTATTGTAGAAAAAAAAGAGCAGATAAAATCAGTCCTAACCCTATGAAGAAGGTGACTCAGGTGATAGGTGAAAAATCAGAGGGATTGACCTTGATTCAGGGACAAGAGTTGTGGTCAGTCCATTATGGTTAGATGTCATTGAGGAAAGATTCAAATGTACATATGTACTTAGGTCAAATAGAATACAAGGTTAATATTTGAGAGACTTATAAAAAGAACTGGGACTGTTGGTAACAGGCTTAATTTCCACAGTGAAATCAGTAAAGTCAACATA